GGACTCACCTGTGAATGGGTCATTCAACCCCCAAAGGGGTAGCGACCCACAAGTTGAGAACCACTGCTCTAGGCCAAGGTAATCTACACAGCAGGCCAAGCTTAGTGCATTGGCGGGCGCTGGTAGTTCCGTGGCAGAATTCGCATCCGTGGGAGACTCAGTTTCCATTCCTGGGTCACGCGCCTTGTGTGCAGCGACCACTTGCCTGTTAGTGGGGGCTTGTGTGTGGGTTTGTTGGTTGTGAGGCTAGATCAGCCCCGGCGGAGCTTCCAGACTCAGAGTAGGAAAGAAAGATTTGGAGATCCGCTTCTGAAAATCAGCCCGTAGAAGCTTTGTGGGTCACAACGGCTGCAGGGACGGTGCCACCGTGCAGGTGCCTCTGCGAGTCAGCGGCCAACTCAGCATGGAATCCAGAAGAACCCACACCTGCCGCTTTCTCACCCTTCTGGTTCGTGGCAGTGCTCGCAAAAGTTAGGCGTGTGCAAAGGATACAGTCGTCGTGTGTCATTGATTTCTTGTCATCGGGCCGCTCACAATGACTCTTGCCCTCTCTGTTTGGGTGGTATGCTGGCAGTAGCCTCGCTCGCTCGTGAATGACAGGTGCTGCCATTGAGGCCACTGTCAGGGCCTCTTTTGTCCTCCCCTACGTCCCTGTCACTCAATCCTGGGAGTTAGTGCCCCAGAGAGGGACCGATGGGCAGCTCTGGGAGCCCAGGAGAGAGGAGACTCTCTTCCAAGTGGCTGGGGTAAGACGTGGGACCGTGGTTTCCACAGGGAGAATGAGAAAGTCCCCTAAAGAACCGGGACTGGACACTGGCGTTGGAGTGGGCGGGCAGCAGGCTTTGGAGCTTTGCCACTTGTCCTTTGTCTCCCACCCCCACATGGCCTGAGAAATCAGGTGTTGAGATCCCGCCAGGGCAATTGTGCAGGAGGCCAGATGGGATGCAAGTGTGGTCATGTTTTGTTCTGTCCTGTGCCCCCAGGCCACCACGGTTCCCAGGATGGCAGCCAGCAGCAGCCCCAGCGTAGCCTCACTGGGTCCCAGCACCTCTGGAAGTCAGGGCAGCATGGAGCCCATGAGCACGAGAACCCAGGAGGAGGGGAGAGTCTCTACTGACCAGACAGCAGGAGGCCACAAGAATGTCCAGGCAGATGAGAGGACACAACCGGACAGGAGGTTGCTGCCACCGGGAGACAGAACACAAACCAGCCAGCGGCCTCAGGCAGAGAGAGGGCTGCAGGTGGATGCTGTGGCACGAGAAGGCACAAGGACATTCGGCACATCTCAGGATGTGGCGGCACAAGGAAGAGCAGGGACACAGGTGGGAAGGACACAGGCAGGTGAGAAGATGCAGGTGCACAGGAAGATGGAGGCAGATGAGAGGACTCAGGAGGACAGAAGGATCCAGGGAGAGGAGAGGCCGCAGTCAGAGAGAAGCGTACCCACAGTCATAGGAGGTCAGCCGGAGCAGGGGCCCAAGAGCAGCCACAGCCGGAAGTCTAGAGCCCCTACACCCCCTTCTTCAGAGGGCCCTAGCCCCCCACAGGTTACTAGACACTTTAAGCAGAGCCCAGAAGGGTCCTCTGTCTCAGACAAGCCTGGTTTTATGCTCAGCTCTGAGGAGGCTGTGGCAATAGCCTCCAGAAACCACGAAGAAGCCGCACCAGGCCCCTTGTCAGGGCCCCTCTCACACCCAGCACAGCTGCCTCCCGAGAGGAACTCGGAGCAGATGGGAGGAGAGAGCAGTCCAGGGCTGGGGAGGTCCAGCCCAGTCAAAGACAAGCTGGAGGCCAGCTTGTACCAGTGCCCAAAGGAGGGCTGGCATGGGGAAGTGCTGTCTGGGGATCTGGGCAGCTGTCCCCCAGCTGGTCAGAGTCCCGAGGCGCCCACCATGGCCTCTCATTTTGAGAATGACCTGCCCAGCAGCCCAGCAGAGCAGTCGCCCAGCACCCTGGCTTCTCAGCACGTGAGCACTGCTGCCTTACCTGGAGCTGCCCCCACACCACCTCCAGGGCTGAGCACCCCCACCCAGAGTCAACCTCTAGCAACGGTGGCTCCCGGCAGGGAGGGGGCCTGCTCCAACATGTCTGATGTGGGTGGTGGGACCCCAAGCCCCCGGAGCTGTGACCCTGGCCTCATAGATTCCCTGAAGAACTATTTGCTTCTGCTGCTAAAGCTGTCAGGCACGGAGACACGTGGTGGGGCAGCAGAGCCCCGGGCAAGTATGGCCCCCGGGGGCCCTGTGCCCTCACCTTCGCTGGCCCCTGCCGTGGAAGTGGCTGGCCTGAGTCCCCGGACGTCGCGGCGCATCCTGGAGCGCGTGGAGAACAACCATCTGGTGCAGAGCGCCCAGAGCCTGCTGCTGAGCCCCTGTACGTCCCGCCGCCTCACCGGGCTCCTGGACCGAGAGGTGCAGGCTAGCCAGCAGGCCTTGGCCGCTGCCCGGGACCCCCAGGGCCCTGCCCCCAGCCCCCTCAGCATCCCTGCCATTGTGGTTGGTGAGGAGGGCCCCGGATCAAGATCAGAAGAAGGATCCGGTGAGGGTATGGGCCAGGGCGAAGAAAAGGCTTCCTTTGAGGGGCCTGGCCACACTGGAGCCGCCCAAGAGACCAGTGGGAGTGGGCCAGCCGCGGTTGTGGGCAGGCAGGTGGCCTCCGGGCAGCGACTGCTCCCAGTACAAGGCCAAGCACAGGATCCCATCCCAGAGGAAGAGGCCTCAGGGGAGGCCCTGCCAGGTCTTCCTGCAGCCACACCTGAGGAGCTGGCTCTCGGGGCCCGGAGGAAACGATTTCTCCCAAAGGTCAGAGCAGCAGGAGATGGGGAGGTGGCCAAGCCCGAAGAAAGGGAGAGTCCCACGATCTCCCCTCGGGGGTCCAGGAAGAATCTGACGCCTGGGTCCCCAGGGAGTCCAGGGCGGGAGAGATGCTCCCCTATCCAGGGGAGGAAGGCAGGTCTGCTGGAGGTGCCAAGGTTGGAGGAGGAGCCAGTGCCAGGAGACCCAGGGGCCAGTGCCAAGGCCGGTGGCCTGGATGCAGAGCCGGCACTGGATGACAGCAAGCAGGATACTCCAGCCAAGCCCAGGAAAGCCAAAGACCTTCTCAAAGGTAAGTCACCAGGCCGGGCAGTCTGGAGGCCACCGAGACCGACAGCAGCATGGCCTGTTCTCGTCGAGGGACAACAGAGGACCTTTGAAAAGGTCACCTAATTTAATGATCCCGGTGGCTCTGGAATCAGAAAGACCCGGGTCTCTTCCTGACGCTGCGACCCTGTGAATGGGGCCAAGCATAGTGCCAACTTCATAGCAGTGTGAGCTTTGACTGGAACAGAATAAGTCAAGGGCTTATTGCCGGGCCTGGCATGCAATACTGTTTTAGCTCCAGCATCCCCATCATTGTCACCTCTTCTTTAGAGACTCGTCCACAGCTAGTTAGCGGTGGGGACAGTGTTCAAAGCGGGTCTATATAGTTAGAGGCCAGGGAATCCTCTCGCGATAGCTGTGTTCCGGGCTCCGAGGCCGTCCCTGGCTCTCGTTCTTTCTAGCTAGTTATGTGCACTTTGGGGATCAAGGCAGAAACTTCAGAGATAAGAAGTGGGGTGGGGTGGGGGTGGGGAGCGAGGGCTGAGGCCTGTGACATAGTGGGAGACTTGGAGCCTGTTTTCTCTCTGCCTGGCCCCAGCTCCCTGTCTCTGCGTGTATACCTGTGAGATGGACCAGCAAGGGCACAGGATGGAAGAGGGGCAGAGGCTTCTCCCTCTTAGCTGGTCTTCACCCCCACCCCCTTCAGCGCCACAGGTGATCCGGAAGATTCGGGTGGAGCAGTTTCCGGACGCCTCGGGCAGCCTGAAGCTCTGGTGCCAGTTCTTCAACATTCTTAGTGACTCAGTCTTGACATGGGCCAAGGATCAGCGCCCAGTGGGCGAGGTGGGCAGGAGGTAAGCTGGTGGGGACCACCTCCCCCCTACCTGGCTCCGGAAGTCCAGTAAGGACACTGGCGGGCCCTGTCCTCGCCTCACAGTAACCCTGTGTGGGCATCTGCTAGTCCCAGAGTGGAGGGGAGCGCATGGGGGTCAATCTCCCACTTGAGGTCGCACGGCCAGGAGGTGTCAGCCTCCCTTCCCGCGTCTCGTCTCTCGCTGCCACCTCGGTTCTCAGTGGCCGATGGGAGCAGGGACTGAGAACTCTCAGGAATGTGTCAGCACCATCCCAGGAGCCCCGTGTCTGGCATGGCCTCTTTAAAAAGGTCTCCACTCTCTGCAGTGCGGGGGACGAGGGGCCGGCGGCCTTGGCCATCGTGCAGGCGTCCCCCGTGGACTGCGGCACCTATCGGTGCACCATCCGCAATGAGCACGGCTCCATCTCCACCGACTTCTGCCTCAGCCCCGAGGGTGAGTGCTGCCCGTCACCCAGGGTCTTGGGGACCTGGCTCCCAGGTGGGCAGAACAGCCCAGGGGCAGCTGCTGTCTCTCTTTTCCTCCTAGTGCTGTCGGGATTCATCTCCAGAGAAGAAGGTGAAGGTAAGGTGCCCCGTTGGGGAAGGAGGCGGAGAGGGTGGGTGTCCATCCCCACTCCCACCACCTGCTGGGAGGACCCACTTAAAGGGTCTGTGCATTTGTTCTGTGATGACGCGTCCACATCCACGCACAGCCACCCTTTGCCTCCTAATTACGACTTGGGGAGAATGGGGAGGAAGACTGATTTTTCATAAGATTATAAGAGGAAAAGAGGTTGGGGGTAGAGGGTGTGTTTCAGCCTTGAGTCCTTTGTCCCTCTTGGAGCCTTGGCCAAGGGCAGGACTAGCCACCAGGGCACATCTTAATCCCGCCAGCTGCCTGCCCAGTTTCTGAATGGCTCAGGACCTCCTACCTCAGATTCAGACAGGGAGTCTACTAGTTTCTCGAGTCTGATCGCATCCATCCTTCCTCTCAATCTCTGGGGAAGGACTTAGAAAACCTGGCGTGTTCAGCAGGCTCCCTGGTGATTGTGAAACAGTCCAAAGTTTGATACGCATTTCAAGGCTCAGGTGTCAGTGGAGGCATCTGGGTTGCCCCTTCGAGAGGCATGCTCAAGCCTGGGCTGTGAAGTCAGCCAACAACGGAGAGATTCCCAGAGCTCCGTTTACTACTGAATGTATCCATTGCACCACTCACTCATTGAGCCCGTGCCTTTTGTTCTGTTAGCCAATAAAATCAAGTCAATATTAAATATGATCTCGCACTAAAAATATACCATATATACTCGAGAATAAGCCAACCCTAATATCATCCGAGGCACCTAATTTTACCACAAAAACTGCATTAAAAATGTGCTGAGAAAATCGGCTTATACATGAATATATACGGTAGCAATAATTCTTTAATATCATCAAACGTCCAACCCTATTTCCTCAGTGGTGAGTCATGTTGGTTCATTTGAACCAGAAACCACTCCTTGCTCTTGGCTGCTCTACCTGTGAAGTCGTGTTTAATAGATAACAGGTCCTCCATCCACATTTCCCCCACTCCTTGCCATTCCTTTGCTGAAGTCTCTTGATGCGTAGACCTTTTTACATTCTCTATTTGGTTGAGTATAGCCATACCTAACATGTCCCTCCGGGGTTTGATCAAGTACAATGCATCCGAGAGGAATTCCTGAGAGCCGAATGGAAGGTGAGTTTGACAGTGGGGCAGGAGGAAGGTGAATGGAAGTAAAGAAGTTGGAAGCAAATGCTATTTATAGAAGTACAGATATAGGCATGTGCATATGTAAGTATATTAGTTTATAATGAAAGGGATAGAGGCCAATGTACAGATATTTATATGTTAAGTATTAAGATGACAGATGGACTTTGAGCCACTATTCAAGACCTCCCTAAACACAAGAACACTTTGTTCTAATAATCTGGCACTCTTTGATACTCACCTTCCCTAGAAAATCGCTGAAGACAAAAATGGGTGCATGAGTAAATGTGGTGAAGAAAGCAGAAGGTGCCTGACTATCAAAAGATATAGCATCTGGGGTCTTAAAGGCTTGAAGTTAAATGGGCTGCCATCTAGCAGGGAAGTATGTAAGTCCACATGGAAGAAGCACACCAGCCTGTGTGATCATTAGGTGTCAACGGGATCAGGTATCAAAAGGTCCAAAACAAACGATTATATTGATGTGGAAGAGGGAGTTGGAATGGA